ATCAGCCATTTAACAAAAAATTAACCGTACTGTTGCTCTGTGGACACGCCCCCATCCCAGTACAGTGCAGTCCACCCCCCAACGCACAATAACCACTCTACTGCTTATGGATTTGACCTTCAGAAACCCAACCTACAGACAAAACTGATTCAGAAATAATCAGAAACTTTTATAGAGGAAAACAACATTTCTTGGAAAACTTTCAAGATATATGTACATGATTCCTATACGTTCTGCGGGAATAACAAGTGCTAAGAGCAAACGGAAACTAGTCTGAGTACAGAAAATGTGAGAAAAGTTTCTTTTCAAAATATATATGGACTCTATACCCACGCCCTTCAGAACATGGACATACACACTCTCTACCTTCCCCTCAACGTGAGACACTGTACACAGAGAGCGCGCATGTGCGGCTGGTAGGCTGAAAGTAGGGTCTGTATGTTCATTCCTATGGTAGGATTTCCAGTCAGCGTGAGAGCTTTCTTACTTCTGCTGGTACTAAGGGGAATTAGTAAATGCGGGCACCATTAGTTCTAGTCAGTCGAAAATAAATCACCAGCAGATGGCAAAGGTGCCAACCCTCCTGTAACGTTGGGCAGCAGCGACAGATCTGGAAGGCTTTGGATGTGAGATTTCAACTCCTTGCGGACTTGGGTTACCCGAGCAAGCTTCTGTTTATACTCCTGCAGAGAGGAGACAAGGAAATAAGATTAGAAACAGATTTTCACAACATGAGCAGAGTGTACATCCTGCGACTTTAACAGGAGAGGTTTTCTGGAGAAGATGGATTACTAACTCAGAACAATCATTACAGGGTGTTGTAACTATGGTTTATCCCAAGATACTAGAAACAAGGTGGATGAGGTAATCACTGGATTTATGGGTTGTTATAAAAATCTGTAACTGATGACTTCCCTTTTTGTTCTGGGGCTTATCACAAAAAGCTGGGGGTCACCCAATGAAATTAACAAGCAGTAGATTTAAAGCAAAAGGCAGCATTTCTTCACACAGCGCACAGTCAACCCATGGAACTCCTTGCCAGAGGAGGTTGTGAAGGCCAAGACTAGAACAGGATTCAGGAACTACATAAATCCACGGAGGTTAGGTCCATCAGTGGCTATTAGCCAGGATGGGTAGGGATGCTGTCCCTGGCCTCTGTTCGTCAGACGCTGGGAATGGACTGCTGTTGATTGATTCCCTGTTCTGTTCACTCCCTCTGGGGCACCGGCATTGGTCACTATGGGAAGACAGGACCCTGGGCTACATGGACCTTTGGGCTGAGTTAGTCTGGCTGCTCTTAACAGGCCACTCTACCTGGACTGATCCCTTAGAATACATTCCAACTACTCATGCTAAACAAGTCTTCCACCTTGTATTTAGCTGTAATGCTCAGAGTACCTTTCCCACCTGAGAGAGCTATATGGCTAGAAAGCTGGTCGCTCACCAACACAAGTGGCTCCAATAATAGGTATTACCTCTCCCAACTGGTCTCAACAATAATTACTGGCAGTCTAATCATTCCCCGTGTTCCCACGAGTCCACGTTCCCAACGTGGGACTGACAGGACGGCCACAAGCATTAGCATTCCAGAGCCATAACTCTCCTCCTACTGCAAAGGGGTAGTGGCCCCCAGGGCCTGCGTCAGATGTGTGGCAGAGTGCACGCTTAAGGCCAGGAGAGACGGTTAGAACTTCAACGGCACTTAGCACGCTCAGGCCAACAGCCGAAATGAGACCAAGTCAATGAGCACCGCTAGAGGGACCTGGCTATTGCCCAAGGCCCCTGCAATGCCAAGGAAGTGACTTCTCCCTGGCAACGAGGTAGGGCTCCCATCGCTGGTCACTGCAGAAGACACTTTCTTCAAACTCCATCTAAAAATTCAAAGCGAATCTGGATTTCCTCTCAGATTTTTAGCCTCACTCCTATTTAGACAATAAAACACGACAGCCCCATGCTGACGTTGTGGCCGTCACAGGCCTCCATTCCGTACAAGAATGTCCTACAGCGCCCTCCCGCCTGCAGAATGGCAACAGCCTTTACTCCACACGCATTACGGAACGACATTCTGAGCAGTCTACGTCCACACTCCCTTGTGGGACTATAAAAGTAGCCAAGGATAGAGGGAAATCGTTACCATAAGCCAGCCAATGTGTGTTATTAGCACTTAGCACATATTAGGCACCTGATTATTAGCCATAACCACTGTAGCATTATAAGGGAGCAGTGATTCAAATGATGCCCAGAATCACTAAGCGCGAACGAGGAATCGGAGGGTCGCAGTCTCTGCTAACATCAGAAATGGGCAACAGCAGGAGAGCAGGATGTAGGACGGGTGCTGACGAGCAAACCGGAAAGGGAGCCTCCTGAGAGCTAGCAGCCAGGGCTGGGGCTCCCAAGTCCAGTGAGTGAGTATTTTAGAGCACCAGGGAACTTGCCCTTGA